GAATTGTGAAACAAACTAGTGGCCACTCTGTGGTATTTGATTGAATTATGAAACAAAATAGCGGCCAAATAGATTGTGAGACAAGATGGACATCAGTAGATCAACCCCATCTATGACTAGTAAACAAAATGACATGAATATCAAACTAACATTTCTTGTCAAATTGCTCAACATAGTGGAATATTAGTTTCACTGAATAATAGACTGCAATATATTATTCCTAGAATATATTATAATTTTGCAACTTACGTGTTGTAGTTGGGTATCACCCCTTCATCATCATTATCAACCCTTCTTGCATACCAACATCCTTTCTTATATAATGTATCTGTGACATGAAGAACATTACCATGGTTGATGAGTAGAGTGAAGTCACTATTCTGCCAAGATCCACTATCAACATTGGCTCTGCAAAAACAAATACATAAAAATATTGCTTCTATGTGCATCTCTGAATTCATCTGAATCAGCAAATGGAAACAGAAGATGTTTATACAGTAATAAACAAGTCATTGTTAATGATATAATCCCCGTTGGGATTAGGGAAAATGTTATTCATGTCAAAATTAAAGTACTATAATATGGACCAAAAGCATAGTTAGTAATTGAGAGTGCTCTAGTATCAATTAGATATATTAAATTACTCTTTCAAAATCGAAATATATGGTCAGAAATTAAACAAATTATGCATTTTTTGTATCAAACTGAATTTCCTTTGTCCAGGCTTATGCAAAGACATATAGAAGTCTGGGCAAAAAGCAAGATTGCAGGCAGTAAACCATTTTGATGCGATTATGAAACTAATTGTCAATACATTTTAAAAAAACAAGATAGCTGCAAGTTGATCATTTTGGATTCGAACATGAAACAAATCATCACGAATGTATCTCAACATGGATAATGTTTGTATCAAATTTGAATGAAAACCGACAAATTCTGTCCAAGATACTTTTTTTCCAAAAAACAAGATGGATGCCAGTTGGCCATCTTTGACCAGATTATGTAACAAACTGACATGGATATGTATTCCAATATACATGTGCCAGGTATGAATGAAAATGATCCCTAAGCCTTGGAGATATATATAGCATGTATGGTCAAAAAAAAAGAAGGCCGCCAGTCGGCCATCTTTGATCTGATTATGAAACATTTTTGATTTCTTAATCCTTTGAGTGCTAAAGTCTCAAACTCACAAACCAATGTCACTACAAGAAATTTTAAACCCACATAAATTTTTTATATTTAAATTAAATCTTAAACAAGACTGGTAGCCAATAAGGATTTATGTCCACTTGAACCAAAACTACAACAACAAAAATTATAGACCAATACATGAAAACATGAAAAATGCTGTACCAAAATTTTGATTGGAATAACTATGACACTCAAAAAGTTAAAAACATCAGCTGTATGGATTTCATTCTCACCAAAAATTTATGTTTTTTGGGTTTTTTTTGGTGAAATCAATTTCATTCATTCATTCATAACATTGAACAAGGACTTAGAATTTGATGCTTTCAATAAAATGATAAAATCTTGTATAATCAATGAACTTACGTGACATAGAATGAATCTCCTCGTACATCTGCAGTGTCCATGTAACGTAGTGCTTCATATACTACTTGGCTATGTTTCAGTGTCAATTTCATTGCTCCAGAACAACTATTCATCAGTTCTACTGCTTCCTCTAGGGTTAAGTCAATAAATGACTGCTTCTTCTGTTGACCATTAATTTTACCCATTATCTATAAGAACAAGAGTGAAGTATAAATTTAACTTTTTATATCAGAGCAGAGATAGTTTGTCAGCGTCTTGAAAACTACAAACCCTACTCATCTGATTACCAAACGCTTCAGCGTGGTATTAAGAGTTTGTTTTCAGGGGTGGGTGATACCAAGGTGGGAAATATATGCACATATGGGGTTAATTCCTTGAATTGCAATATAGAGGGTTCAGGCTGAAATACAATATATAGTGTTTTCATGTTTCGTCTGATATTTCTGTGGTATTCTGCTGCTGTAAGTAATGCACGATTTGTTCCGAAATTCAGTATATTGT